CCCAGCCTAAACAATCCCATTTCCCTCAGCCTCTCCTCATAAGTCATGTGCTCCAGCCCCTTAATCATTTTCGTTGCCCTCTGCTGTACTCTTTCCAATTTTTCCACATCCTTCTTGTAATGTGGGGCCCAAAATTGGACACAGTACTCCAGATGAGGCCTCACCAATGCCAAATAGAGGGGAATGATCATGTCCCTCGATCTGCTGGAAATGCTCCTACTTATATAGCCCAAAATTCTGTTGGCAACAAGGGCACACTGTTGACTCATATCCAGCTTCTCGTCCACTGTAACCCCTAGATCCTTTTCTGAAGACCTGCTGCCTAGCCACTCGGTCCCTAGTCTGTAGCAGTGCATGGGATTCTTCCGTCCTAAGTGCAGGACTCTGCGCTTGTCCTTGTTGAACCTCATCAGGTTTCTTTTGGCCCAATCCTCTAATTTGTCTAGGTCCCTCTGTATCCTATCCCTACCCTCCAGAGTATCTACCACTCCTCCCAGTTTGGTGTCATCTGCAAACTTGCTGAGGGTGCAGTCGACACCATCTTCCAGATCATTAATGAAGATATTGAACAAAACCGGCCTTTGGGGTACTCCGCTTGATACCGGCTGCCAACTAGACATCAAGCCATTGATCACTACCTGTTGAGCCTGACAATCTAGCCAGCTTTCTATCCACCTTATAGTCCATTCATCCAGCCCATACTACTTTAACTTGCTGGCAAGAATAGTGTGGGAGACCATATCAAAAGCTTTGTTAAAGTCAAGGAATAACACGTCCACTGCTTTCCCATCATCCACAGAGCCAGTTATCTCATCATAGAAGGCAATTAGGTTAATCAGGCATGACTTGTCCTTGGTGAATCCATGCTGACTGTTCCTCAAACTCCTTTATCTTCTTCCCAGAGCCACGTAGTCACAGTTATCCACTCAAGGTCATTCTTGGCAGTATCATTGGTGCCCACGTGGAGAAGCAGGAAGGGATAGCGATCCGAAGGCTTGATGAGTCTCATGCCCAGTCTTATTAATCTCTCCTCATACAGAAGCCGTTCCATACCCCTAATAATTTTTGTTGCCCTTTTCTGAACCTTTTCCAATTCCAATATATCTTTTTTGAGATGGGGAGGTTGTGGAATCTCCATCATGGGAATTTTTAAGAGCAGGTTGGACAAACACCCGTCAGGGATGGTCTAGATAATACTTAGTCCTGCCTTGAGTGCAGGGGACTGGACTAGATGACCTCTCGAGTTCCCTTCCAGTCCTATGATTCTATGACATCCATGGATATTGCAAAGATTCTATCTGTTTGTTGCCCTGGGAAGCTAGGACTGGTTGCCTCGCAAGGAGGGAAACTCCTCGTGGGGTCTCCATTTCCCGATGCGGGCTTTTCCCACATGCCCGGGGTTCTCATGGCTCTCAGGGTTTTCATGTCTTCCAGGCTTCCTGCTGCAGAGCTGAGAACCAAGCCCAGCTAGATCTGGGGCTCCCAGGGCTTTCAGGAAGCCCTGTAATGGTTGATGTAACCAGGATTCTCATGGTTTCTAGGCTTCCTACTCCGCAGCAGGGAGCCTGATAGATCTGGGAGCCTAGAAGCTTCAGAGCCCCAGCTCTGGTGCTGACTTGGTCCCTGCTGCAGCAGAGCAAGGACCCTAGCCAGCCCTGAGAGTCCCAGCTCCAGCCAGGGCTCTGGGGGCTGGGAAGCTGCCTACTGTGGAGTGGCAATCCTAACAG